TTAGCAGGAGACACTAAGTGCAAGAGGCGGAGGAGAATTCCCCCAAGTCACTCAAAAGTTCTTTCAGCTGTGGAATCAGGGGCAAACATGAAGACATTAGCCAGGATAATTACCCTATTAGTCTTTAAAAATGGCAGTCATATAAAATATACTGCTGATTAGAGTTGTAAAAACTGTACAAATGTTATACTAATCACAGACCTGTATTAGAAAAGTCTAATCATTAATGCAAGCTTAGAGCATGTTATCAAAGATGACAATGTTAGAAACATAATCCAGGTGGCTTATGAAGTGGAAACTGAGCCTGGGCTGATATTTCTCTGCAGCGGACACAGCATGCATTGTTCCTCGATCTCTCTTAAAAGCCCTCTGTGTGGAAACGCAGCCACAGTGGGAGAGATAGAGCACCCTTTGGGCCACATGGTGAGTGTTCACACAGGCCATAGGCAAAGCAGGGTGGGTTATACCGTGGTGGCACACAGCATCGCGGCACAGTGGCATGGGCCAATGCCCTACTCCACCTGGAGGAGCTAGCCACGTCTTCCTTGCTTCTCTGGGGACAGAGAGAGCTCCCTCGGCATTTGCCCGTGCTGAGTGGGGGAGGGAGGGGCCCACTCTCAGCTGTGGGGACCTCTCTTCTGCAATAATAGAAAAAGTCCAACAATTAGGGAAAAAAATAGTCAACCTCAACTTATTAAATGATCAAGGCTGTTTGTTACCAGGCTGCTCCCAAACTTCCAGGCGAAGCTTATACATGCTACGCAGAGACCACACTAAGCGCACAGAGTGCTTTACAAAATATGAATCGAGACACTACTGCAAAAAGCTCTGTAGCTACGTTCGGAAAGACGAAGGTGATGGCTCAGGTATGAGACAAGATCTGAGAGACCTGCACAGTGGCTATGCAGAGGAGCAGGTTTTCAGGAACAAGGAAGGTCTCTGGGGACTGCTCCAGCCATGCTGGGCAGCATGAAAGAATGAACGAACCAAAAAGTGGGAGAGGAGGCAGAAAGATCAGTTGCTGACTTCACAGGAACTGAGACAGAGCCACTGAACTGCGCGTGGCTTCCACTGCAGACGCGCGAAGGGTCAGATCACAGTCTTCAGTAGTTACAGCTTCCGGAAATGAGCACATATCTGCCGGGAGCAGAGAAGACAGGACAGCCACAACTTTTCCACCAGTTACCTTCGCAACCACCAGTCACCTTTTAAAGCTGTGCTGTGACAAACGTGAAAGGCTTTTATGTACTAATCTAGTGTGTTTTAAACGTAGCACACAGGCAAGGATCTTTGTGTACGGGCTGTACAACTGGGCCACAAAGCCACTTAGTATTAATCTGTTCAGGTGTCTGATCTGACTATCACTCTGATACGCACTATGTCCAGAAAGAACAGCAGATGGGTAGGAGACTGATCAGGTCCTTTATAATAGAAGTGATAATATTCCTTTAATGTAGTGAGCTAACAGCGTGTGGTCTTGTCCCACCTCATTCCAGCATCCTGAGAGTCAGCAAAAATGAGTAGAGAAATACACAGGAGGTTTTACACTCTTGTATCGGGAAGACATCTGGCAAGCTGCCTAGATTCATGCTTCTGTTCAGGTGCAAGTTCTGCATTTGGCATTGCCCTCCTGTGCACAAAGCCTATTTACAGCAGTCTACCAGGAGTAAGATACCGTTTCTGTGGAGACATCCTACAGCGACCACAGACAGTTAATAAGAATGTCTCTGTTTAAACCTCTCAGGTTGCTCCTGGCTCCTGAATCTTGCAGTACAAACGTGTTCACCCTTCAGAGGTGATATCCAGTTCATAACTTGCTGCTTGCTGGCAGAGAGGATAACTTCATGCTTCATTGCTTCCTTACATAGTGCTCTGCACATGTTCTCCAGACAGTGCCTGCCGTTGAGTTCCGAGAAATGATAAGAAAGAGTTCAGCAGCTGCTTGTATAACCTGAACCCTAGCTCATAAATTGCTTCAAGCTTTCCTGAAACCACATGTGTCATATGCAGGAGGCTTTATCCTGTTTGTTGCCAACAGGCTATGGCAACTACCATCATTGGAAGGGCACAAAAATAGGGACATTCTATAAGTCGTCAACAGCTAAGACCTAATAGGATTTCAAACAGGCATCAGCTTCTGCTATAATCGTGAGCTATATCTACACGAGTAATATAGTAATGTAACAAGCCAGGGACTATTCTCTAGTCCTGAGGCTGGCTGGTGTAGCACAACTCAGCTCACGTCCAGACATCTGAACTCCTTCTCCTCTGTAACAAGGTGGCCGCAATCAGTGATCCCTCACCTGTGCTAACCCCAAGCCATGTTTGCGCATCGCCTGGGAGAATGCTAGCTGACCCAGGCCAACCAGGCTGGGGTCATGCAAGCAGCTTAAAGCACGGACAGCCCTGTGCAAGCACTCAGGCCCTACCCTGCTCCACTCAACAGCAGAGTTGCAGTTGAAAGCTGCAGGTGAGGTCTGGCAAAAAAACCCCACCTCGAACATACTAATACGGGATCCACAAATGGCAGATGTATGCAGACCACCCTCAGATTTGGTTTTCAGCCACCTGCTTTCATCGTGCATACTGGCACCTGTCCACGGGAAGCAAATTCTGCAACCAAAAATCCACCATAGCTCACATTTCATCTGCCCTCAAACCAGAACTATTCCTTGTCATACACAAGGTATTGTAGTTGAGACGGTCAGAGACGGACGTACCCTAGAGCTCCTGTGTTTTTTGGCATTCTGAACTACCAGACATCCACAAAGAAACGCAGATTCTCTTTTTCCTGAAATATGCTGCGTGGCCTGCCAAGTATATGGCAAATCCAGTCAATCTCATGCACAGAGACTAAAGGGCAGCACTTCGTAAAGGACTGCGTTGGGGCCTCGCCCTCACGTTTCACTATCTCCCATGGCATATCTCCCATGGCACTAGCTTAAAGCCAGACTTCTGCTTGTTGGTTGCACTTCTCCCAGAACACCTAATGTTTGAAGCTGTGCTGCTCTGTGCCCTGAGGTAGCCACAGTTATAGGTCTGGTGGACTGCATCTCACCTTGGCCACTAACTGGTCTGAATGCCCAGGGTGACTTTTGATACATCTCACTGGAAAGGTCTGATAGTTTGCTTTCATAGGCAGGGGGGGAAATGGAGTGATATCTCCTCCCAACAGTTTCTAGTTTTGAAGTCTTCATTCCTCGCAGACTTCTGTTGGAAACGGATTTCTTCTGCATCTTCTTTGATACGGCTAAGGGGCCGGGACCAGGAGGGGAACAGACGCATTCTGTTTCCTTGAGGGACTAGGAACTGCACCCAAATTCCTTTCTGTAATAGTAGCTGTTAGGACACTGGCTATAAGGTTTCAGGTGCTGAGCAGTATTCCCTTCAAAGCGCCAACAATCCTGGATGGGACTACCTATATGTTGAACAACTTGTGAACATTCCTAACATGAGCTCTCCCTACTCCTGAAAAGCCCACAGTTCTCGTAACTAACTCCTGATGTGACTTAAGCTCTCCAACAACAGTAACAGTATTTGGTGACATATTCAGTGACAAACATGAGAAGTCTTGAGGGGTGAGGAATGATACTGCTCTGGTCCCAAGTCTGACTCTGCTTGGAGTTACTTGCTGTCTGGTACAGTAGGTTTAGCTGAAAGATGCCACTGGAGGGCATCAGGTTTTACAGAATGAGAGCGCAACACTCCTAAAACCTGGAAAATGTGGTGACACTGAATTCTCTCAGTATGCTGTGACCTCAGTGACTTATTTGCTGAATAAACTGATGCTAGAGACTGTTTACAAAGTGCAGGGCAGCTTCACTTTGCTGCCACAGTGGCAGGCAGCCCTTCTTCACTCACTCTCAAAGCCAAGTCAAGTTTTAGCACTCTTCTCTCGAAGCTGCACTCCATCCTGTGAGGAAAAATACCAATTCCCATCTGGAGATTTGTTTTCAGGACTTTGTGCAACCTTTTTTGCATCAGCTTTAAACATTAAATGTTTGATGAATGGGACACTTAACAAAATTAATCTGTTGTTCAGCAGAGTCTAAATCTTACCGGGTTTTAAGAAATATTCATGGACTGCTCTACAAATTGTTTCAGTCATAGAAACTGAAACTTGTACGTGCTCAAATAAAACAAAGGACAACTTGAGCACCTACATGGAACATGATAAAACTTTGGCATGCCGTGTTCTTAAAGGAATGGCACCTTCTGGATAGTGCTGTACAACCACCAAATATTAGTCCAGCCAAATCAAGCTTCTCCAGAACCAATCTTCATAAATACACCTAGAACTTCAAAAGATCCCTGAAATTAAAAGCAAAACCAATACACCCAATAAATAAACCTCCCAACCTCTCTTTCCAGAAATTCCCATAAGTATAGGTAGCAATACAGAGCAGCAAAGTCTGACGTTCACTAGAAGTTTCATTTCTCAGATACCAGCAGATTGTGGCATCCTGTGTCTCAGGAAAAACATAGAAGACACATATGTGTGGCCTTCATATGTCCTGCTCTTCCAGAGACTTCCAGCTAATTTCACGTGCTGTAGGTGAATGTGAACCTACAATGGAATCCATGTTCATTTATTTTTAAAAAAACAGGTAAGCTAACGCAAAGGAAAGGCGATATGCAAGCGTGGCTGCAACTGGGACAATTTTTGCTGAGCCTGGAAGGGAAAGAAAGCAAAAGAGAGGAGGAAAACCAGCAGCAACTATACACGTGGTTTATAAGGACAGTTCTGATGTTTTAAGAATATCAGAGAAACTTAAGTCTTGGCTTAACCCTAGATCCTGCTTAAAAAATCCTTTTAATTTTCTATCAGGTGAGGATGAGAAAAAAGCAACAGCCCTCTTTCCGTGCCTTCCCTCCAACATTGTTGACTATGAAGCAGAATGGGGAGATCCTTAAGCTGCTACCGTTAGGGAAATGCGTGACAAAAAGTCTTGCAGTTTGAAAAGACGCTGTAATAGGATGCAGTTGGCAATAACACAAACCTGAGCTGTAGCTATCTGTTGATGACTGCGAGATGGAACGGGAAAGTGAACGGCGACCGATCTTGGTTGGGCGCTTGTTAAATTCTTGCTTTTGGTCAGCAAACTGGATCTGTTAAGAGAAATTTTTGATTAAATCAGATGTAAAAAAATGAATACTCTGACACAGAAGACTAATTCCAAGAACCCAAAGTAATTCTAAGACCCCAAAGTCTGCGTCTCAGCAGACGGTAACACCATTTCAGTTGCAGGCTGAATTGCAATGTCTATTATTTAAGTGGGGACAGGGTAGCCTAAGTTGGCTTAGTTTAATTCCAGGCACTCCTCTACCTAACACAGTTTTCTAAACACGCTGGAGCTCCCTTTTAGCCATCTCTCAGCATACAAATTAGAAGGGCTTGAAATGCTTCTGTTCCAGTTACACAAAAACATGTGTGATGACACAAGTGCTGACAGTAAAGGTTATTAGTCCAAAGAGGGTGATATTAGAGGGCCTTCAGAAATCTGCAGAACTGATGAGGAGAGCAATTTGTCTTGCTATATTTATTGTCAGGACTAGTATGAGATGCCCGCTCTTTGCTGTACAAAACACAAAAGGCAAAAAAACCCACTTTGAGTAATGAATGCCACTTCCAGCTGCATTCTATATTCAGAAACATTTAAGATTAGATATATCACCTAGGGCCTTTGGCACTGTTGGGAGTATGGCTGCCTGGAGAAACATGCAGAGGGAGAGGGGGAGAGAGAGGCAGTAACTACTCTTTCCTGGTCTCAAACGTTGACCCAGGACTGTGGTCACCACGGTCAAGGAAAAGACGCAAGCAGTAGCTGCCACACAGCAAAAGTCGAAACAAGGATTCAGATCGCTGGATGCACTGGTGAAGCGCATCTTGCTCTTGGTGGAAGGCTGTGGCTATTTAAGAGCACATCACTTAACAAAATGAATCAAGAGAGAAAGGATAAGGCGTGTAAATGAAGTGATGTGGGATATCAGACTGGCAAAATGTAATTATCCAAATTGGAGAGAAGGAAATAGGAACCGACAATATTATTTATCAGCAATGCCCACAATAATAGCACAGTAACGGATACGACATTAATGCTCCTTAGGATTCTGCATTTACCCTCTAACGTCTTTAAGGGTGCTCATCTCACTGCAACAAATTGTTAGTGGATTACAAATACCAGCCTGCTCAAACTGAGAGGAAGAATCAAACCCATTTCCATGTCAATCATCACCAACCAATTACAATTTTACAGAGCCAGTTAGACTCCCCAGTAACGCCTGTGAAGCCCCAGGACCATCAGTAGGTTTGCAAGCCACTGAGTACCACCAGGCAAGCTGTTCTGATACAGCGCAGGGCAAGGACAGGCTCAGTTCTGTCCCATGTTACAGCTGCGTTTACTGCCAGGCTAACAGACACAAACACTTATTTTAAAAAAATGTCAGCAAAGCTGATCTACTCCAAAGCATGCAGAGGACAGAAGGGACAAGTAAAGAGGTGTCATTTTTACCTAGACACTCTCAAGGGTAAAATGACGTTTAACATTCGTATTAATAGAACAGGCTCCCTGCCGCTCCCTGTCCATGTGCTTCAACCCTTTCCCGGGTGAAGCATCTCTTAGCTGAGCAGACCCTCTCTCCAAGTCCTGTTCTACTGCTGCCCTCTGTTGAAAAGAACAGCAAGGAGGTCAAACAGCCAATATCTGCTTACTAGAAACTGTCTAAATCCAGGTTTTCACATAAAGCAAATAACTGCTCTTACAGAAGACTCCACTGCCAGACAGGGTCAGATGTTTACCAGGGATTTGGCAACAGAAACTTCACCACCTATTCCCTGTCCTCAGACCCTTCAGTGTCCCGTTGATGTGGACCTATCAGCTCAGCTCAAGAAAAAACTCCAAATTGTGCAACTGTCTCATTCCCCTACTCACTTCAGTAACAACCTTAAGCCAGTGACTGCAAGCGACTCACAAGTTCCTGTACGGACTCTATTACATCCTAAAGCTGTTCAGTCTACTTGCCTTGTCCGAGGTTACACAGCACACAGGCCTACGGTTTTAGGAAGTATTTTAACTCCCAGTGCTTATTGTCTTGACAGCTAACCATCAACGCTCCAAATACATTTATGTTTTGTGCTAAATCTCAGTGAAACTGAAAAAATAACTTCCATTTGCAACATTCCTTGGACTTTGCTATGGGCATAAACCGACTGAATCTGGTGTAAAGGGATTAAATATTTACATCTTCAAAATACTGAAAGCCATTAATTGAGTCTATTAACTAAACCCCTGGGGTATTCTGAGAAGTCAGTTTTGTTTAAAGAAGTCACCTAACCATAAAGAATTGGATCCCTTCCTGGGAACTCAAGTTCAAGCCCAGAGGTTTAAGCAGCAGCACCGGACGCTGCAGGGGAATGGGCTGCCGACCTTACGGAGCCGGGACCCTGCTTCTCGGGCCAGCAAGCAAACACTTCGCTATCGCGACTATACCATGTCGGCTCTTCAGCTCTCGGGGGGACGCAGACGAGGTCAGACGAGAACTGTGCAGCCTGGCTGCAGCGCGCCGGGCACCACGGCACGGAGCCCGGGAGAAAAAGACGGAAAAAAGGAAAAAGGTGATGGGGCGCTCCGGTGGCTATTTCAGATTCCTCTGTGAACTCAAGTTTGACCTGGCCCTGGGACAAACAGTCAAAGCTAGTGGGGAGGAGGGAAAGGGCCTGCCAAACAAAAATTTGCCGCAGCACCCGCAGGCTTTTCTTCTGCTAATCTTAAAATGAACGACAACAGAGCTACACGGGATCGGAAAACACACAGCAAAAAGCGCCTTGAACTGATGTTACCATCAGGAGTTGCCTTCCAGATTAACACCTCTGATCCACGTGAGGTAGGGTCTTTGCACACACAAGCCAGGTTTCATAGTCTTTACTAACAACACTTAACTGGCCTGAAATAACTTTTTTTCATTTAAAACAAACCCCTCAGCAGCTGAACAGCTTCATCAAAGCACCAGCTTATTTGTGTGAAATGACGCTCCAGGCAAAGTGAGACATGCTGCAAGTCTACTAAGGGTAAATAATTTGTATTATCGACTTCAGAAGTTCTGCAAGAAGTTAACGTCTTTCTTTCCTACCTCATCTGTTCAGAGATATTCATTGCAACAATGTTATCAGGAACAGAGTGATAACTATAATTGTGTTCACATTGTATTCACAAGGTACTTTTAGACGCAAGACAGGCAGGCAACTACATGCTGAAAAGCACAATAAACCACGGACCAAATTAAGCTGAAGTAGGAACTGGACTTCATGAAAGTCCTGCCACAAGCAGGGTTTATCTGAGCAGAGCTCTGACTTCCAAGAAGTAGCACCCGGGCACCAGAACAGCAGAAGCATCACGGTGCGTAGGGGAGAGGCGTCTTCCAGGCCAAGTCTCAGGTATGTTTTTCACTAGCATAACATTTCACCCTTTTAACTTTATCCACGGAATAACAGACAAGGGTGGGCAAGAGTGAATGCTGGAAACTTGATTTACTTAGGACAACTATTGTATCCACCTTCATCCAGTGCTAAATACTGTACTGCATGCATGTGTGAATAGGTACATATAGCAGTGGCTGGCAGCAGTATACCTTCAAGACAATCTCTACAACAGGTCTTCAATTTAGAGTTGAAATTTCAGCAACAAACACTCAATCCAGTCAGAAGAACGGTATGGAAAATGAGACTTTGCCCATCCAGATGAAAATTCTCATTTAAAACTACACTGCATTGCACGGGATTCAGCAAAGCGACCACACAATAGATGGTGTTGTGTGTGCACCGCCTTGTCCGCATCAAAGACTTGGTATGTGAGCCTAGCACAAAAAAAGTTATTCAATTACTGGGGGTGGAACGTGCTCAACTCAAACAGAAATATCTCTTAACGTAACAGCCAACTTTGCATGAGTTAATGCTCAAACGACAGATTGCGAAGCCTTTGAAAACTACAAATGTTGGGATTTAGGAGGCCAATCTGCTCTGTAAGTATATGCACGCTGCTGCTTTTAGCAACCACGAACCCCCAGCAGGAAAAACAATTCAAGCTGGAAAACCTAACTTCCAGAGCTACAAGGGTTAATGACTTCTAAATGCATGTGCATGCTCACTACATTTTAAATGAGATAAGCTACACGTCTACCTGAGGAAGCTGCCTAGGATTTCCACCCTGAAGGTCAGCTCTACGCCGATCCACAGAGCAAAAGAGCAAGTCTTGCTCTCCGAGGTTTTCATACACAGCTTAATCGCAGACAAACTCCCTGCTCAGAAATCCATTTACTCCTTCACGTTGCTCCAGGTGGTCTGAAGAACAACCCCAGAACAACATGTTTGGCTCAACGCTTCACCGTCTCAAACCTCCTGACAGAAAATGAAGAAAAGTTCTCTGGAGAGCGTGTTTCTATCTAACCGGCGAAGGGGCTGAGTCAATCCCAGAAGTAAGTGATTTGCGGGAAGAGCAAGGAAGGGAAGGAGAAAAAAAAAAAGTGGGGGTATAGAGAGAAAAACAAACGGACTTTTTAATAGAAAGACAAGAGTACAGTACCTAAAGGCTGCCCTCACCTGGGCTTTAATCCCTGAATCTCCATTCACATTGTACTTCTTCTTGTTCGGCATGATGGTCTTACCTAGGGCCCTTCTGCAACTCTTCCAGTCCGGGGTAGCGGCTGGCCATTCATTTATACCTCCCAGCACCAGCGATCCTGTCTGCTCTGGTTTCAGCTCTTGGGTGGAGGGAGAGGGCGGGAGGAAGGAGGAAGGTAAGGGGAAGGCTGCACTCGCCTGCATTTGCAGACTCCCTTCGAAGGGCCCTTTTTGGCAGGAAAGAACCCCAAGACTTAACGAGGCATTCCTCCATGCGTCCCGCAAAACAAGTCCTAGTTCTGGTTTATGCTGAATTACAGTGTTTGCCTGACCTCTAAACAGTTAGCAGCCGTTGTTAACATGGCCTGGCTTGTGCGTGCATAACAATAGCTTATTTATATAACCAGAACATTTCCTTGCTTGCTATAATTAACTTGCTAATTAGGTTCTTTTTAACTTGGGTTCTCCCCCCACCTTCCTTCTCCCCAATGTC